TCTGCATCTCAGAAGGGGGGGGGAGAACCGGGAAGGCGGGGGGGGGGGGGGTGGCCCCCCGGCAAGGCCAGGGCGGCCCCCCCCGGGGCCCCCCCAAGCCAGGCCCGCTGCCCCCCCCCCCCCCCCCCGCCCCCCCCGCGCGCCCCCCCCCCCCCGCCCCAGAGAGGCCAATACGAACCCCCCGGGTCGTAGAGGAGCTGCTGCTGGGAGTCCCCCTGCTCCTGCTTCTGGGCGGCCAGGGCCAGGAGGCTCTTGCAGAGGGGGGGCAAGGCGGGGGTCAAGGCCACGGGGGTCACAAAGCCCAGCAGGGACGGCCAGAGGACCTGCAAAGCGGGGGGGACACAGCAAAGACCTGCAGAGGGGGCTTCCCCCCCCCCCCGGAAACGCCCCCCTCCTCTCCCGTGGCAGGAGCAGGAAGCGCCTCCCCCCCTTCCCCGAGGAGGCTCTGCTCAGCCGGGGCCCCTCTGGAGGCTCCACTACAAGCCCCATCAGCCCCGGCCCCCTCCCTCCCTTGGGGGGGCTCACATCCACCATCCGGTCCACGGTGCTGCTGAGCAGGAAGAGCGTATTGGCACTGATGCTCCTGACCTGGCTGTCCGTCACCTCCTCCGGGTCCAGGGGGGGCTGCGGGGTGGCCTGGGGGGGGGGGAAGGGGGGGGGGGGCTGCTGGGAGGCTCTGCTTGGGGCTGGCAGGGGCAGCCACTTGGAGGGGCTGATCCGCAGGGCAGGAGGAGCAGAGGCGGGTCTGACACTCGGCCTCCCTTTCAGAGCATTTTGACTGCTGGTCCAGCGGCCACTCCAGGCCCTCACCTGCTCGGCGGGAAGGGCGCACTGGCGGACCAGGAACTCGATCAGGGCCTCTCCGCCCGGCTGCTCCAGGTAGCCGTGGTGGGCCATGGCACTGACCATCTGCACCAAGGCCCATTTCACCTGCAGGGAAGCAAGGAGGGGGGTTGCCCATCACCCAGGACCTCCTGGCTGCCGGCTGGGCGGCTTCGCTCACTTGGGAGGGGCTCCAGGCCCACGGGGGTGGGGGGGGGGGGGGGGTCAGCTGCCGGGAGGAGGAGGAGGAGGGAGCCCTTGGCTAAGCGCAAGCAAGCCTGGCCCAGAATTCGGCTCCTGCTGGGCTTCTCCTGCTGGCGCCACATTCCGGCTGACCTCAAAGAGGCCCTTCCAGAGGGGGAAAGACCTCCTGGAGCACGTGAGGCGGTCAGCAACCTTTCTCAGGGGCTGGGCAGGCAGCAGCCCAACAGGGAGGGAAGCAACCGGCAAGGAAGCCGGCTGGGGGGGGGGCAGAGCCAGCCAGGTGTTCTCAAGAAACAGCTGGCAAAGGTGAACCCCTCCCTCCCTCCACCTTCCCCAAGAACAGAACGGCC